CAAACAGGCTCTTGAATAGCTATTTTCTGACCATATTGGTCCTCTGTGTCTGGGGCCTTGTAAAGGTAAACCAAAATCACAAATGTATATTTTAAGGTTTGAGTACTGCAGCCCCTATTTAGAAACATGTCGCATAACCAGATCATATTTCATTTCAAAATCCAGTGAAGTAGTGTGAGGTTTGCCAGTTGCCAAAGTGTTCTGGGTTAGTATGGATTAAATTTAGCCTTTTTTTTGTTATACAGTATCATAGTTTCATTGTTTTAAAACGCTGATGCATTCCTTATCCTTAACACCTTTTTCATGTTTAAAGGAGGACCATGTAAAGACACTTAGTTGAATTGTTTATTCCTCATGTTAAAGATGAGTGCAATGTGTGGTGATAACATTCTTACTAGCTGCACAGTTGAATGTTGGCTTTTTTGGCTTTAGCTGGACATCAGATCAAACTCATGAGCATTCTTCACTATGTAAGAGAAATCCTTGGGTCCTAGCTAGCTATTTTTTTTTTTTAATGAAGTCTTGTAAGGTTGTGTACATGTTATGCCTTTGCAAGCATGTTATCATGTAGGGGAAACGGTGTATTCTTTCATACTTTTTTCTTTTTGTGTTGTTTTATTGATTCATTGCCCCTTTTCTTTTCATACCACATTACTCCGAAATAAAGATATATGTCTATTTGAAATGTGTTGGATATTATTTTACCATTGTTCTGTTATATTTTCTCTGATAATACTATTCTCAGTAGTAGCTTAGTTGTCCTGTTCCTTGAAGAATAAAGGTGAATAATTATTCTGTCCTGATTATGAATTTTTAATTTTCTAACTATTTATCCCATACACTATAAAAATGCTGTATTGGCTAAACTGGTGCAGGCGAGTAAGAAATTTACTGCGTGTCAGTTGTAAAAATCTGAATCTGTCATTTCAGTCTGGGTTTGTATGAGGTGAGGGCATCCAGCAATACCAGCATGTTGTAAAACTAGATCAGATCATATAGCAGATAACTGATTTACCTCAGCACTTTTTCTTAAGTGCCGTATGTATTCAAGGCTGCGACTAAAAACAGTGCAGCTATATTTGCGTTGGATGTTTCTCTTAAAGGGGTCATATGATGCTTTTTTAAAGATCATTATTTGGTGTAACAGAATATATTGAC